GCGCAAATTTGTGAAAGTCAAAATAGCACCCATAAATAAATAAAACTAAAATGTTACCATTGGCATACAAAAAATCTATACACAATATTCACAACGGCAAAAAAGGGGGAAAGAGTCAGGGGGAATTGTCCTAGAATCTGCATTGTCTGATACAAAATAAGTTATCAACATAATTATTTACTCTTTAACATATCTTCTATTACAGATCTATTCACTTGATTATTGACAAATTGCACATTTAGCTTTTTGATTTTTTATTTTAAAGGGGAAAGCAAATTTAAATGCAAAATATATATTGTAAGAACGTTGATAAAAACTTACCTGGATATGCGTTGTGTTAAAAGTAATATTTGAGTATTTCAAATGCTTCGAATCAGCCATTGCTCAATCCAATATAGTTTTAACGGTGTGTAAGTTGGATATCGGCCTCGTACATCGATCTTTCTGTTTAGAAAAAACCTAGTCACGAATTTCATGAAACACCTCGAGCGCTACGCGCTCTGGGTGTCACATGAAATTCGTGACCAGGTCTTTCCTAAACAGAAAGACCTCGTACTCGGTCGATATCCTATACTTAATGTAGCCAACATGGCGTCGGATTAATCTCCAAAAAGTAAACATTTGAAGACAATTGCTGTTTCTTGGTTAAAATCCTCGCTTTAAAGTCACAAAATAACATATGCATATTCCTCTTCCATATAATTTTAAAAAGTGCCGTACGAATAGCCAATACAGTGTGTCCTGGATAGCCGTACGCGACTCACGTATGGCTAGAACTTTTGACTAGCCGTACGGCCCTAGTACGGGCCCATACAGCTAGCCACTTCCTTTTACTTTTGGCCATGAAGTTGATTTCAGTACTTAGTTACAATGTATGTTGTTTTAATCAGTTTTCATGTCGGGTGATAAAACTTTAGAATAATCTGCAAGCCACAGTTTGTAGTTTGTCTTGAGAACATGTGAAGTGTGATGGAGTAAATCGTGAATTTAAATATTTTCAAAATAGAGAAATTCTATATAAAGTGTATAATAAAATCATTGTACTGTCTGACCATAAAAATGATACAGACTTACAAAAAGATCTGTTGCCATTTCTTATTTAAGAAGTATTGAAGAGAGTAAAAATATGCAAAAACTGATGGTTAGTAATCAGTTATAATTTTGATTAATTAAAGTTTTTATATAGAATATTGAATATTTTCAATTAACAGAAATGTTAATTACTTATAATTTGTTGAATTATAATTGGACCCACATCTGGTTCTGATGTTCATACTATTTTGTTGTAATAAGAGCAATAACATTCTGTGCATTGACTGATTCTATATTTGGCTGCAACTTACATTTCAATACATTTTTTTATTTTTATGCCCCCACAATGTGGGAGCATATAGCGTTGCACTTGTCCGTCCGTCAGTCCGTCAGTCTGTCAGTCCGTCAGTCCGTCCGTACGTCCCGAAATCTTGTGAACGCAACTCCTCTTAAACCGGATGTCAGATTTTGCTTAAACTTACAGGGATGAACAACCTTAATGTGTAGATGGTAGTAAAGGAAGGAATTTTTGCTGCGACCAAATTTAACAGAATTATGGCCCTTTGTTGATTTTTTCACTAGCTACTATATAGAAATTTTGTGAACACAACTCCTCTTAAACCGGATGGCAGATTTTGCTTAAACTTACAGGGATGAACAACCTTAATGTGTAGATGGTAGTAAAGGAAGGAATTTTTGCTGCGACCAAATTTAACAGAATTATGGCCCTTTGTTGATTTTTTCACTATATACTATGTAGAAATTTTGTGAACGCAACTCCTCTTAAACTGGATGGCAGATTTTGCTCTAACTTACAGGGATGAACAACCTTAATGTGTAGATGGTAGTAAAGGAAGGAATTTTTGCTGCGACCAAATTTAAAAGAATTATGGCCCTTTGTTGATTTTTTCACTATATACTATGTAGAAATTTTGTGAATGCAACTCCTCTTAAACCGGATGGCAGATTTTGCTTAAACTTCCAGGGATTAACAACCTTAATGTGTTGATGGCAGTAAAGGAAGGAATTTTTGCTGCAACCAAATTTAATAGAATTATGGCCCTTTGTTGATTTTTTCATTAATTACTATGTAGAAATTTTGTGAACGCAACTCCTCTTAAACCGGATGGCAGATTTTGCTTAAACTTCCAGTGATTAACAACCTTAATGTATAGATGGTAGTAAAGGAAGGAATTTTTGCTGCGAACAAATTTAACAGAATTATGGCTCTTTGTTGATTTTTAGTTTCAACTTGTGGCACATGTAGTCCAAAAAATATTTGACCTAGAGTCATAAGATTGACAGAACAGTGGCGTGTGGGGGCATCAGTGTCCTATGGACACATTTCTAGTTTTTTAAAACATTTATTCTATGTTATTGGTTGTTGCAATTGGTATATGGTACAATCTAGATTTTAAGAGTAGACAGTGACTGAAATGAGAGTAGAAAACTTTTTAATGCATTGTTAATTGTTTGTTGTTAGAAATATGATGAAATTAAAAAAAAAAAATAAACAAATTTTGTATTTCAGGTGTGTGATGACAGACTGACAGATTAGTTTGATCTGCAAGGCGACAATGTGAAGGTATATATGAAAATTGATTATATTTGTTAAGAAATAAAGTTTTCAATGGATGAAGACAGTGATATCAGTGAATTTGAAATGCTATAATATATGTACCCAGTGACTTTTTTACCTCTGCGTCCTGCGTCCAGAACGCATTGAGTTTTCTGTGGACACAAAGTATCAAATAATGTGCATCTTTTGGACACATGCTTTTTCTGAGCATGGAGTCCTGTCTGACAGGAATTTGGTATAAATTCAAGTTATGTGAATATGATGACAGTAAAATTTAATGTTTTTGCAAATATTTTACATTGTTTTACCGATAAGGCTTACCATATAAACTGTAAATTAATTGTAAACATTTTATAATCAGTGTTGCTCTTGTTTGAAATGTCAACTTAAGCAGAATATATTCTAGTAATTTGACCCACTTGATGACAAATTTCCAATCGTATACCGTTCCGATTTAAAAAAAAAACAACATTTAAATACGTTAGGACTCGGAGAAATCTTTGTAAATTTACATTTAAACTATCAATAATACATTTATTTAATAGCACAGCTAGAGATTTCCTTTAAAACTTAGAGTCCCTAGTTAATGGCACATGCACAGGGTGTTCACTAGCCATAAAGTCCTGAGGATCATTTTGAATAAGTTTTACTGACTACAAGGCCCATGATTTTAACAAAATTTCACCCTCCAGTTAAAATCCTGAGGGTCAAATCAGGTCTTTTGGAAATTTGAAGAGTCAAAGAGTCATTTCAAGAGTCAAACGGACACCCTGAACATTGTATATTGTTGCCATCCAGAGCATTTACTCAATTAAACTGCACTTTAAAAAATCGGCGAGTCAAATCAAGCTATTATCAGAAGTTCAACTTACGGTTTGAGTGCATCATTTAATAAAGAAATTTAAAAAAAAAAACACAACAGAATTACAGTATAATTGATGTAACAACAAATTGAAAGTTTTGAATCATAATATGAAAAATAATGAGGATTACAGGCTTAATCGGTAAAGAACGCAAATTCTTACTAAAAAAATTTGAACCCATACAAATAAGGAAAAACATCGCTTACCGTATTTTTTGACTTAAGGTAAACATTTCATATTCTAGGTCTTGCAAATTTTATACATATAAGACATGTAAGAAATAGTCATCTCTAATAAGCATAAAAAATTAAGGAATATGATGTTTTGATTAATATCAAACTAAAATAAAATACATGAATGGAATGGAAACAAACTTATAATGACAGTTTTGGATAATTTCAGTATCAGAAGCATTGTAATTAATGTAGAAATCAAATTTATTTTTTTTCTCCATATAACTTGGACTTATCGGTTAAATTTTAAAGTGGTGGCGTGATTAACACATCTAAAATGTAACTAGTATGCTAAAGATAAAAGGATTGATGGCTGTATTAATTTCAACCCACCATGGGGAAGCAACCATTGTATAATATTGGAGTTAGAAACACTAATTGTTTTTAGGCTAGATTCAATACTGAATTTAATTTTCAAAGGTCAGTAGGAAACATATGATATATTTTTTACTGTAATGACTAAAACAAGGGGGCATAACACCTTTATGACAGTTTATAAGACTTACTCAAATGATTTCCATTGTAATACAGTGTAGCTATTTTATTATTTTTTTCTTGATATATTATTGCTGGGAAGACCAGATTGTTGATATTTGGCTTAAGATATTCTTGGATGATTCCCATAAATTTTTATAGCAAAAATTGCTTGTAGTTGAGCATAATGTGCTGTATAGAAAGCTACATATAACAAGTGTGCCATTTCTTTTATTGAGTAACATATTTATGTTTTTCATGCAATATTTTTGTCAGAGTTTAAAGAAAGGATGAACTTATTGAGTAATTGTTATGAATAAATGAATAAATATTAAGTGGTGGCGTGATTAATACATCTAAATGTAACCAGTATGCTAAAGCTGAAAGGATTAAATAATATTCAATACTGAATTTAATTTTCAAAGGTCAGTAGGAAACATATGTTATATTTTTTACTGTAATGACTAAAACAAGGGGGCATAACACCTTTATGACAGTTTATAAGACTTACTCAAATGATTTCCGTTGTAATACAGTGTAGCTATTTTATTATTTTTTCTTGATATATTATTGCTGGGAAGACCAGATTGTTGATATTTGGCTTAAGATATGTAGATAAAATATTTTCCATGAATGAAAGCATGTGCTTATTCTTAAAAGACTATTAATTTATTAAGTCTGGCATATTCATGATATTGTGCTAGATGATAAGGTATTTTATGATTTTTTTTGTCTTTCTTTATCTAATTTATAAGAGACAAATGTGATGTCATGAATAAGTTGTTATGAAATTTAATAAGATAGAAAATATTTGTTTTTTATATGTTTTCAGGTGGTTTTAATGTAATATGGTGTGCTGACTGTAACAGTAATGTATGAACAAGTTAAAGTGATGTCATCTCACATACACTACTCTCCTCTCCCTACAAACGAAAGTGATATCTCAAACATACACAAGTTCGCCTTCCCCAAAATATCTCGCCTGAAAATTGTTGGTGTGACTTTTGTAATTTTACTGTCAGTAGTATTAGTAGTTATATCCTGTTTCAATAAGGGATACTGTTCAAATAAGTCAGTTTGTAATCCTGAAAGTGAAGGAAATCGGTCGGACAGAGGACAGTATGGTAAGGGAGAACATATAAAATTTCATCACATGAAAAGACGTCTACCTCAATGTATAATTATTGGTGCGAGAAAGGCAGGGACTCGAGCTTTGTTGACCTATTTAAATATTCATCCAGGGATTGTTGTGAAAGGTGAGGAGATGCATTTCTTTGACGATGAAGACTACTATTATGACTCTTTGGAGTCTTACAGAAAACAAATGCCTTACTCTTATCCAGACCAAATCACAATCGAGAAAACACCAGCTTATTTCACCGAAGAAGAGGTACCAGAAAGAATATATCGTATGAACAAAACAATAAAATTATTACTGATTTTCAGAGATCCTGTTGAACGGACAATTTCCGACTATGTTCAAATAGCCGAAGGTAAGAAATCGAAAAATAAGTATGTTGCATCATTTGAAGATCACGTCCTGGATTCTAAGGGTAATATAAATAGGAGCTACAGGGCGGTGAAAAGTTCTATATATCATAAGCATTTGTCGCGCTGGTTGGAATTCTTCTCTCTGAATCAAATTTACATCATCGAGAGTAAGGACCTTGTTGAAAATCCGTCGGTTGTGATGTATGACGTTGAAGATTTCTTGCAGATTGAGCACGAGATCAAGCCAAGTAATTTTTACTTTAACAAAACTAAAGGATTTTATTGTGTTAAAACTGACACCTTACAGAAATGTCTCGCTGACAGTAAAGGTAGACAGCACCCACATGTCCAGAGGTCTGTCATCAGTAAATTAAGGAGATTCTTCGCTCCACACAATAGGAAGTTGTACAAGATGGTTGGCACAGATTTCCACTGGGCTGAAGAATGAAGATTATCATTTCATTAATACATGTATTAAGAATATAGTATATAAGATACTAATGCGGCCTTCAGTTTTTCTAAAGGTTAAATATGTTAATATATATAAGATAAATTGTCTCATATAATTGTCAAATCAAACAAATTAAGGTTTAAAATGAAATTTATCGTCAATAATATACAAAAATGTACGTAAACAATAAGAAAATACTCTCAGGGCGCTGTTTTGAAGAAGGCTTAAATAGTGCTTGATGCACTTTTCCAAGTTAATATTACTGAAATACTTACCTTGAAACAGCACAGAATTGTTTTTTTCCAACAAAAAATAAAAGCTGAAGGCCGCTTTGGATAATAATTTTGTATCTTTTACAGATACATAGGATATCTTGAGAAAATATTTGTATTTTTTTTATCTCGACAAGAAGTGAAAATGTTCTCTTAAATATATGTACCCAAAAAAAAAGAAAAACTAAAAGATGTTCACAGTCATGTAATAATATTCATTGAAAACAGTCATCCCTCTTATCTAACAGGCTTCGCGAAACTGCTGAAACATTTGCCTGACCTTCGGTCAGACAAACTTTCAATTCTTGTCTGACCGAAAGAACTTTTGTCTGACCGATTTTTTTTTCCAAATATATGTATATGGTAATACCTTTGTGTTTTTTTAAAGACATAGGATCTTTTAAAGATTTGCAACACAATTTTATTCTCATAAATAAAACATCAGTTTATCCAGATTGATGGACTCTGTCTGGAAATTTAAACATTCATGATCAAAATCATCATCATCATATGATCTTTATAAAATTTATGACACAATGTACATTTCATCTTATTTTCTTCCTCGTTAAAAACCAACCACGAGCGGCCATTTTTCCATTTACCCACAAATTTTCTCGGCAGGCGCCTGGACTCGTATTTCTTTTGTTTCGCTTTTTTCCTTCATTAGATAATTTACGTTTTTTGCCTGGCGTAGCGCCAACGTAATAATTAAATAATGCAGTACCACCGACATTTTCTTCCGAATACAAGATCATTGAAAGTTGTATGTATCTAGAATTTGATTGGACACTAAAAATGAAACGGCGAATCAAAACTAGTTTTACATTTTTTTATTCAAGGGAGAAAACTCGGTCTTTATTGGTCTTGGATATATCCCGGTATTCGTACCGGACATAAGGTCCGGAACTCGGAAAAAAATATCGGATCGGCCTAATTTTTGTCGGACATGTCCGACGGTCCGGCAACTTTCGCGAAGCCTGATCTAAATTAAGTTATTTGATGAAAGTTTTTAGTTTTTACGATACAATGTAAATGGTATGCAGTGAGGTATATACATGTACAGTGAGAGATATAAATCATATTGCATTGCTGAATTTCTGTATGTCATTGTGTAGCATTTATTCAATATTATTGTCAATAAACTGTACTTGCTTTGATACAGTATAATATATTCAACTTGTACAAAAAAATGAAAGGAAAACGGAGAAGTACAACATGTCAAACTTTAGGCTTTAACATGTTAAATGTTCAAGATGTAAATGTATTCAGTCCATTAATGCTGATATTTACTTTTGGATGTGACACAAAAAGTAATAATTGTACGCATCAATTAACACTTGTGGTCATCTTAATTAGGAGATGTGCCAAAATCCTGCTTTGATACAAGGAAAACTAGAGAACAATTTTTTTAACTTGAGTTTCTCATTGATTAAATTTTAGATGAATTATTTGAATTTTCTAGATTTTGTAGACGTAGGATTCTTTTGTATTGATTACAAATACTGAATTTTTATTCATTTTTGGAAAAAAAATGACATATATGATGATTAATATGATATTTTGAATTATTATATTCAACTTTTGTAAGCAGATATACCTGTACTAGTACTTTACAAATTAAAATAAGCCAATTTCCAATTGAGCTACATAATTTTAAAAGAATTGTTTAAACGATTATTTGAAAATGTTTTTATGATATTATTACAGTACCTTTTAACTTGCCAATTTCTGATTGAGTAACATATTTTTAAACAAATTATTTAAATGACTGTTTGAAAATGTTTTTATGATATTCCATAACTTTTAACTTGCCAATTTCTAAGTGAGCAAGGTATTTTTAAACAAATTTTTTAAACAATTATTTGAAAATATTTTTATGATATTATTCCAGTATTTTTAAAAAAGACTTTAAACCTAAATTTGAGCTTTAAAGTATTTTTACGTTTACATTTTTTACAACTTTTATTGTCCCCCGCCTTTTCGAAGAAAAGAGGGGGATATAGAAATAGGCTCCGTCCGTCTGTCCGTCCGTCCGTCCGTCTGTCCGTCCGTCACACTTTCGTGTCCGGTCCATAACTTTGTCATTTATGAAAGGAATTTGAAATAACTTGGCACAAATGTTTATTATAATAAGACGATGTGTCATGCGCAACAACCAGACCCCTACCTCCAGGGTCAAGGTCACACTTGCTCATTCAAGGTCAAAATTGCCTATTTGAGGGTATATGTCGTGTCCGGTCCATAACTTTCTTATCTATGAAGGGATTTTGTAAATACTTGCCATAATTGTTCACAATAATCAGACGATGTGTCATGCGCAAAAACCAGTCACCTACCTTCAAGGTCAAGGTCACACTTGGAGGTCAAATATTAACATAGTCTGTTACAGGGTATATTTCGTGTCCGGTCCATAACTTTCTTATCTATGAAGGGATTTTGTAAATACTTGCCATAATTGTTCACAATTATCAGACGATGTGTCATGCGGAAAAAGCAGTCACCTACCTTCAAGGTCAAGGTCACACTTGGAGGTCAAATATTAACATAGTCTGTTACAGGGTATATTTCGTGTCCGGTCCATAACTTTCTTATCTATGAAGGGTTTTTGTAAATACTTGCCATAATTGTTCATAATAATCAGACGATGTGTCATGCGCAAAAACCAGTTGCCTACCTTCAACGTCAAGGTCACACTTGGAGGTCAAATATTAACATAGTCTGTTACAGGGTATATTTCGTGTCCGGTCCATAACTTTGTCATTTATCAAAGGAATTTGAGATAACTTGGCACAAATGTTTGTTATAATAAGACGATGTGTCATGCGCAACAACCAGACCCGTACCTTCAGGGTCAAGGTCGTACTTGTTCATTCAAGGTCAACATTGTCTATTTGAGGGTATATGTCGTGTCCAGTCCATAACTTTCTTATCTATGAAGGACTTTTGTAAATACTTGCCATAATTGTTAACAATAATCAGATGATGTGTCATGCGCAAAAACCGGTCACCTATCTCCAAGGTCAAGGTCACACTTGGAGGTCAAATACTTACATAGTCTGTTACAGGGTATATTTTGTGTCAGGTCTATAATTTTTTCATAGATCAAAGGATTGTGAAAATAATTCGCACAAATAGTCACAATAATAAGAGGATGTGTCATGCGCAACACCTGCATCCCTACCTCCAAGGTCAAGGTCACACTTAGAGGTCAAAAATTACCATAGTCTGTTATAGGGTATATTTTGTGTTGAATCTAGAACTTCTTCATAGTTCAAGGGATTTTGAAATAACTTGGCACAAATAGTCACAATAATAAGACGTTATGTCATGCACAACACCTGCTCCCCTACCTCCAAGGTCAAGTTCACACTTAGAGGTCAAAGCTTAACATGATAGATTTTTAAATTCCGTGTTTCATTTTATTTTTTTAACAAATTTATTGTTACATTTGCAGATCTAGCATTGATCATAATTTTGGACTGAATGTCCTGAGATCCATACCTCAATCTTTTGAAATAGCACAATTTTATGCTTCATATAAAACTCCCGGGGCGGGGGACGTTGGTAACTCTGTTACAAATTCTTGTTATATTAGTTATAAATTGGGATACAATATAGTTAGTTGCATTCAGAACATATTTCGAAACACTGATTTTGTTTCCATTGAACATTTCTTTGGAAGATTTTTATCAAAAGTTATTTAAATTTTGAATGCTGGGTTGTTTTAATTTGCTGTCTTGACCTTCTTTCCCATTATATTCACTCTAATTTGACAGGTGATATCTTTTGTTGTGGTTATTTTTTTCTCAATTGTTTTGATTATTTTTCTGCCATTTGGCCCATTGTTAAGTGAGTTGTGATGGCTAAATGTTTTACATATTTATGGAACATTATATTAAAATCTATTCTTTTTGAGGTTGTGATTTTTTAAATTTTACAATTTTTTTTTTGCTTTGACGTGAAAATTAATTTCTTATTTTAATTTTTTTTTGGACACAAAATGTTTTAATATCTTGTTGACTTGTTAATCAGTAACTGCAATGCACAATGATATTGACATACATTTATTGCTAGGTACATGTACACTATATATAAATTTATCAGAAGCTAAATTCAAACCCTTATAATTCAATGCTGTTGATATGTTCTGTTTTGTTTTGTTTGTTAAAGCTGCATACCTCCAGATGAGCAAATATATTTCTAGGTAATCAAACTTGAAAAAAAATGTACTGAGATATAAAAAAAAAAGTAAAAAAAAATCAATATGTAAGCGATAATTTAGATGTTATGTTTTAGATAATTATGCCTTGATGTTTTTTTGTTTTTTTTTTCATTCACAAATTTCATGATTTTATTTTATTCAGCAATAAACTGCAGCCCACTTTTTGATTATTTTCAAAACACAGTAAGAAATGAAGGGCATGTTGGCTAGACTTATATTGCCTATATAATATTCAGATTTAACTCATTACAGTGTTGGAGCAGTACTTGCAGACGCTTGCAGAAATCATGATTACAAAAAAGAATTTAAAATATTTTGTTTACAACTTTTACACTTTTCATTCATTGTCCCATATAAATCATTGTGAACAGATAAATTAGACATCTAAAAGTGTATTTTGGTGGGCAAAAAGGCGAGCATTTAGCATTTATTCATTCAAGTGCCGTGTTCAGTATATACTGGAATACGGCAGGTAGTGTGTTGCTTCAACACTTATTTTAGTCTCACTCATAATATTGTTATAGAAAAACATCAATAGTTAGTTTCAGTTTATACCTCTTTAATCACTGATTAGGTGATATCTTCTTGTACTTTGATTTTTTTACCTGTTCCTTGCTGGTCTTAAGAATATGAACCCTTAGTCTACAGAATCTACCCATGTGACCAGTACAGACCGAGATCTGAGTCGCCACATCTGACTATCTGATCGTAGTCTGCACTGTTCCCTCTTCAGTCAGTTTATATATTTAAATATATATATCCCCCCCCCCTAAGATGATGAATGGTTTTGTCTAGTTTGATAGATGGACAAGTCTATTTTAGCATTAAAAGGGTAAATATCAGGTTGACCTGGCTACATGTATATTCTAGTGGTATGGCCAGATCATAATATCTTCTTGTGTTCAAACTTTAAATTTTTCATTTTTTGTATATGGCCAGAAATTTCTCATTGTGTATTAAGTTATTTTTGAGATTGAATCAAATTTATCAAGACAGTCGTTAAAATCCGTATGTTTT